CATTATTACATTTAATATAAATATTTTTCTTTTTCCTTGCAATATTTTACATAATAAGAAAAGTACTATTATTAGAGATAATCGAGTCTAGTCCATATATGATGCGAATTAGTAACACTGTGTTTAAATTGTGACGATATACCCGTGTTTTATTAATAAATCCATAGACAATCTTGAATACTGTATGTGAAAATAATAATCATTCGAATGTTATAGAAATTTATATATATATATATATATATATATATATATATATATATATATAAAATATATGTATACTACAATAAATATACTTTTTAGCATGGCGTTTCGTTTCGTTTAAATAATTATAATAATTAATAATTAACATAATATATATATATATATGATATATATATATATATATACATATATATAAAAATAAGTTAGTACTCACTCAGAGCGATACGAGAATATTGTCACAATCTGAACATAAATGTATATTTACTGTATATTTATTATAAGGTACACATTTACGATCACGATTAGAATAAGATACGGTAGAAAATTAATGCAGGTAGCTGCTCATATCAAACGGATCATACTATTTTTCAGTCGTTCTAGAGAAAAATCTCAAGTTGATCCCTAATAATGTCAGAAATTTTATACATATGAAGCTTATTCTTAGTATAAAGCCTATCCGCTTAACGAATACATACACACCCATGTATACCAATGAAACTCATTATCATTAATAATGATATATATATATATATATATATATATATATATATATAATTCTTTTTTTAAATTCATATATATATATATATATTATAATATATGTATATATATATATATATATATAAATTTTTCACAACAATATGTACTTTATGCTACGATTCTTTATCAAACATTTTACTGTAAATCCAAACTTTCGATAAAAAAAAAAAATAAAACTTCATTTTCATCAATTATAAAGTAGATAAATTTTATTTTTATTTGAAAATAATAAAAAGTTGACGAAACTTTTATTGTCGCGATATGATCATCGAAAATATTTATTTAGCAAATAACAAATTAAATCTATTTATAAAGTTCTTATTCAATGTAATTTTGTATTATATGCAAAGCCGTATGTCTCAACGTTCGCGGATATGGCTGTACATATCTTTTATAAAGTTAATTATTCCTTCTTTTTTTTTTCTTTTTTTTTTTTTTTAATATTTTCCTTATTGGGTATTATAAAGTATAAATATCAACGATTTTAATATTCCAAAGTTATCACATTAAGATTCGGTCGATCGTGTAAAAAGAAAAAATAAGCAAAAAACAAAAAAGAAAAGAAAAGAAAAAAAAAAATGAAAGAAAGAAAAATTGTATTTTTCTTGATTTTCCAAATTATCATGGAAATAAATGGGACATATAATTTATGAATAAATCAAACGCTTAGCTTTTTTGTGATTTCAAAGTCGATGAAACTCTTCAACTTGTCGAAATTTAATAAATAATCAACGGTATCCCTTTGGTGTGTGTGTGCACCCTTTTTAGATAACATATTAATCTTACCGCTTTATTCTTTTACAATGAAAATGTTTGCTTTATACGTCACGAGAAAAAGTTCATTTTCAATTCCCATAATCTATCGAAGTACACTGATAACATCATTGTATATCATGCCAAATCGAATCTTGATCACTCTTCATTACTCCATCCATTTAACTATAATATATTATATTCTATAGAATCTAATTACTGTATTAATTCCGATAAAAATAAACACTACTACAAGTAAAAACATAAAATTGTATCAAATGTTTATATGAAATAAATTATAACAGTCTCTAATATAGAAATGCAAAGTGTATGTTTTAAATAAAGATCCTCCTGCTTCCTAAAAAAACTATTGTTTCCAAAGTTTTAAATTATCCAATGTAAGTTATTGCAAATATTGTTATATTAAGATAATTCAATTCCAAGTGTCTTTAAAATTAAGATACTTTTTCAAATTGTTAATTAATTCTAATGATTAAATACAAAGACAATTGTATTATTAAATATGAGCTTAACTTGTTTTTGTGTGTTAAAACTTATTATATTTAAATACATATTATTTAAATATATATATATATATATATATAATAACATTAATAATAAAGAAAACAACTTATAAACACAGACATACAATTAATAATATAAATATTATATATTCAAATTAATATTTTATTTTTTACTTAATTTCTATAAACAAATAAAATATATATATATAAATTATATATAATTAACAGTATCTATAAGATAAAGTTATTTGACAATTATCTCCTAAAGGCTTAATTATATAAAAGTGGAAATTTTGAAAAGCTAAAAATTTATAAGCTTCTCAAATTAAATTAGGACTTCTTTTTTGTCAATAATTTAATTACCGATACACTGTCTTCTTTGTCAACCAATAATAATATTTACTATTATCTGACATACCTTATCTCTTAAAAATTATTAATTATAAAATTATTATAGAGATGTTCTTTTTCTTTTTCCAGAACCATTAAAATTTTTAGTTCTTGATGATTGTTTATTACGTTGTATATGTCGTTTTAATATATCTTTTAGTGAAAGACATAATTCACATGTATCACCTTCACTTACTTCTAAACTACATAAATTATGTCTCCATTTTTCCTTATTATCTCTATAAGCACATTCCAGATTAATATTATTATACAGACTTACTTCAGGTCCACCATTACAAAGTTTCAAATTATTTGTGTATGTTATAACATTCATTACATCTGTTATTGTTTCCATCGGAGACAGATTTTTTTCTGAAGCTTTTGAATTAAATAAAAAAATTTCATATTCCATTTTTTCATGAAAGATAATCTGAAAAGAAATATAAATATAAAAACGATTATTGCTTACAATTTATAAAAAAGAAAAAAAAATAGAATAAAATAATATAAATCTAATTCATACTTGTTTTGTGTAAAGAGGTATGAATCCTGACCCACTATTATGATGTAAAGTTATTTCACTTATGACAATGCAACGAATCGGTATTTCTGTAAAATGTATTGACCATGATCGATTTGGAAGAGTTAAGGTAACTTGTTCTGAATAAATTAAATTAAATAGATCATCTGGGCTTCTTTTCAATGAAAATTCTTTTGTTGTTAAATAAGAATTATTAAATGCAGATAATCGTGCATTATTAGTATATATATCAAATGTAATATTTTTATTCTCTATTGAATTTACTTCCATATCTTTCTGATTCGAAACATTATTCGATTGAGTAATTGAAGAACTTTGAGATTGTTCAGACGAATTACACATCTGAAAATAATGGATAAAATAAATTTTTATTGAAAATACGGGAATTTATATCTCTGCAAATTAAAAAAAAAAAAAAAATAATCTATTAATACCTACATTATGCGATGTTTTAATATTCTGTTGTATATTTTCTACAACATCTGTCACTTTTTCATTTCTTGTATTTTGTGCCTTGCTAAAAGTTTATGTAAAAAATATTTATCATGATTAATAATTGATTAATTAGTTATAAAATATATTGCAACGAATAATCAAATAAATCCTTATATTAATATAACAATTAGTAAATAATAATAAAACAATCTGAATACAAACCTAGAATTATTCTTCTTTGCCTTGGTCTGACTAGTTTTAACTTTCCTCTTGGTTGAATTATTTGATTTATTTGATTTTAACATGGTTCATGATATTGATCACAGGATAATTATATTATATTGACATACACGATATATATATAAACATTTTCCTCCAAAAAGGTTTCAATGAAATGTATACATATTAGAATTTATCAAGTTAACCTTTACTTTTCTTTAAATGTATTTAAATCAAATTGCGTTATTATTAATATTAAATTATAAATATATCTTAATCACATTTAATAACTCAATAAATGATCGTTTTTATTTAAAACTTAGATGTCGGCGAACTCCTCAATTCAATGCTTGTTGATTGTTTTGATCAAATTCAATGGTTAATTAAGAAAAAAATAAGAAATAAATATTAGATGTCAAATTTTTTTTTTTTTTATGTAAATATAAATAAAACGTACTCCTTCCTTTTCGTTCAAATTCTTTTTAATGGATTAATAAATTTTCGGACAAAAAGATTAGATCTTCCTTGTTAACAGGCTTTACGTATTGTTATATTCTTTATGTCCTCTAGTGATCAGTTGGCTTGTAGAAAAAGATACTAACTCCATCTGTTACTTTTGAAAAGAACTAAATTGTACTAATTCGTCATAATGCGATTCATACTGAAAACGTCACCTCTGCAAATAGAAATATGTTAAGTGAAGGCCAAGAAGGCGCGGGTCGTCTTCTTGTACGCAGTGCTGACGTCTTTTATCTTCTTTTTGAAAATTTCTCATTTATCTTATAAATTTTATCACTAATTTATTATAAAATGGCTACAGAAGTTGCTACAAATCCAGTAAGTTTATTTTTTATTATATTATTTATCTTCTTTGGATAAAATTCAAGTTATTCAGTATATTCTAAGATTATCCGCATTGCATAGTATTACATTATACTTAGAATGGTAATATATTTCTATAGATTTTATTAATAAATATGAACTTATATAATATAAATTAACTGTAACAATATTATTTTTTCTTTTCTTCTTTTTTTTTTTTTTTTTATTTTTTTTATAGGAAATTCCTTACGTGGGTGCAGTTGAAAATGGTTTGGTACCTGGAAAAATGGTAAGAATTCGTGGTAAAGTTCCTGAAAATGCTATCCGATTTGCTATTAATTATCAATTGGGACCGATATTAAATCCAAGAGATGATATAGCCATTCATATATCACCTCGATTTTCTGATGGTGTTATTACAAGAAATCATATTGAATCTATGGCATGGGGAGCAAACGAAAATGAAGGTCCTATGTGCATACAGCCTGGTCAAGAATTTGAAATAATTATTTTATGTGATCATTTGAATTATAAAATTGCTATAAATGGTAGGCACTTTGCAGAATTTGCACATCGATTACCATACCAGAAAGTAACGTATTTAGTGATCGATGGTGATGTTGAAATATTCAGCATTATCTATGAAAATGTACCCGTTGGATCAGCACATTCCTCATTGCCTATATCAGTTCCATCTGCAGATTTTGGCCCTCCTCGTAAGAATTATTTCAATTCTATTTATGTTTATATAATGTTAAACATTATTAAATATAATTATCTTATTAATATTATTCAATTAAATTAAAATTTTAACAGCACCAGGTGGTTTGTATCCAAATCTGGATACAAAATCGATCGAATCAGGTGGATATGGTCCTCCTCCTCCAGGTTATGGTCCAACACCTTCTACTGGCCCATCAAATAGAAATAATCAATCCGGTGAAGAAAAAGATTCATTTGGTGGTTTATTCAGTAATATACCTTGGAGTGGATTAGTTGCTGCAGGTAGTATTGCTGCAATAGAACATGCCAATGTATGTATCATAACTTGTGTAATTGTTATTGCACTGAAAATCAAAACAGAAAATAATATTTATTAAATATTATAGAGAAAGAAAGAGGAGGAACGACTTGGAAAATTAGATGCTTCCAATACATCAACAAAAAGTGACAATGGTTCAGGACTTTCAAGCACATTTATTGGTTTAGCCGCCCATTTAGCAAACACTGCTATACAAAGAAACTTACATGCACAGCAAGGATATCCTTCTCAAGGACCTAATGATAATGTTCTTGGATCTATCCTTGGAGCATTAGGTATTAAATAAATTTATATATTAGTTCAATATAAAAAAATGTTTTAAAAGAATTATTTTAATGATTTTTTCAAACACCATTTTTAATACTATTTTAATTAATTCAAATTTATGGAATAAATGATATACCTTTTTGATCACTTAATCATTAACATCAATAATCTCAATTTATATAATCTTACAATTAAAAGGTGGGGCTGGAGCACAACGACCAGCATATCAGCCACCTCCACCGACTAATACTGACCCATTAACTGGAGCATTGGGATCTATTCTTGGTGGTGTTCTTGGAGGTGGTGGAAATCAGCAACAACAACCGTATCAACCATCAGGAGGCTATGGTGGATATTCAGCACCATATGGATCTCAACAAGGATCCAATAGTTCAAACTTCTTGTCCGGTATAGGTTCTGCACTTGGTTCATCATTACTAAGTTCTGCTATAGATGGATTAAGTAAACATGGGAAAGATGTAAGTATAAAATTAATAATCTTATGCTAAATAATGATATTATTATAAACGGAACAAAGTAAATATTATTTGTATAAGTTTGACTATATTTCATATTTTTGATCTCTTTGTGAAACTTTTTGATACAGAAATCTCATGAACATCCTCCAAGTTACGTAACACCAAATGCCCCAATGCCTTCTGCACATATGAATAATCCTTCAACGTCAGGAGGAAACAAATTGACAGCAGATGAAATATCTAAAGGACTTGGCCTTGATGATTAAATGCTTATTTTTATAGATGAGGTGAAAAAAATTAGTTAAAAAAATGCCTCTAAATAAGAAAAATTATTGCAAAAATTATATCAAAATCAATATATTGCTCTCTCTTTCTCTATTTCTCTTTCGAAGATCTGAAATATTAAATTTTGCATTTTATATACTTGCAATTATATTTGCAGTTTTTGTATGGCTTAAGAATAAATCGTAAATATATGCAAATAATTGAAGAAAAAAGCATGTGTAGAAGCCAAAAAAGTATGCTTCTGATTTATATAAATGTCACGTTAAAATAACAAAAATATCAGGTGCTTTAAATAACAAAAATATCACGTGTTACATATGTTAATGTTATTAATTGCTATGAGTTAACAAATATCCTATAACAAGTTATAAAGAAGTAATATGTTGTTAATTATTAATAAAATAGTATAATAGATTGTTGGAAACGAACAAAGTGACCTCATATATTTTCTTGTATAATTGCTACTTTCATTTTTCGTTTCAAACGATTACGTTCTTTCAATACGTGCGATGCACGACCATCACATTATTATTTATTTTACTTTTATTATTCGTTGATTCTTTTTAACTCAGGTTTTACTCAACAGCACAAATGAATTTATCAAATATGTTGCTATTTTTATAACTCATTTTTATAAAGAATTCATGTTTTTGAAAGTAATATATTTTATCTTACATTTTATACAATTATTTAAAATGTTATATACGTTACTATTTATTGTACTTGTTTTAAAAAATAAATTAAAAGAAATGAAAAATACTTCATAATATATACTTTTTATTTACTTATTCTTGATCAAGAACTTCGGACGAAATTATTTCTAGAATCTTAGAATTGTTTTCCTAAAATGTTCAAAGCGACAATATATAAAATTATATAAATCAATATATACATTGCTGTATACGTAATGTATGTAAACTTACATTTGATATAGCTTTCAAAGCCTCTAGTTGTTCTTTTCTTTTTCTATGAAAGAAACCCAATTTAATGAGACCTAGAATAATTAATATTAAAAGTATAATTCCAAGAAATATTGATAAAGCTAATATCCAAACGGCAACACGTTCGTTTATTGGAGATCCCTGGAATTTTGTAATTATCATGGTAGTATCAGGTTTATTTGTGCTTCCTTGAATAACATTGGATGGTTGTGTGATATTTACAGTGCCTTTAGATGCAAATAATATAATATTTTTGTTTTCTAACATGAATGCTGAAATAAATAAATAAAAGTGAAAAATTATAAATATTACAATATAAATTATTTAACAAACAGTTATAGAATCGTTATATAACTTACATGGAATATTTAATAATTTAAAATCTAATGTAATTATAAGTTGGGCGACAGATAAAGAACTTGTAAAAGGATTTAATTTACATTCAATTTGTTTACACACAATCATTGGATTACTACAATTAATGAACAGTATTCTGTTTTCAACGGGTGTATTTATTACCAATTTTTCCGTGTTAGTAAAATTTTCTTCATATTTGATCTTTGTTTCATTTCTTGTATAAATATTAACTGATTTATTATTCATATCAAATTCATCAATGAATTCATTAATGGTTTCCCTCTTGAAAGTTTGACAATTTTTACAATGATCCAAATCATTGATTTTTAATTTAAGAATATTACCATCCATATGAGCAATTGTATGATTTATATTAATCAACTCTATATCATAATCTTTGTTTTTCCAATATGTTGGAATTTCTACCATTAAGATAGCTTCATTAATTGGACTTCTTCCAAACTTTTGTACTTCATAAATATGTTTAAATTTAATATTTTGTGAATTTTTTTCATCTTTCCGAGAGTACGAATATACATTGTCTTGTGCTTTTCTAAAATAGATAATTTTTATTATAAAAATGTTATGCCATAACATATCGATAAGTATTATAATACTAACCCTGCTATAGCTATATCAACATCAATATCAAAATAAATTGTCATAGTATAGTTCTTATCTAATTGATTTATTTCTTCACTCTGAGTAGTAACGTTTGCATATAATTCCAAACTCTTAACATCAAAACGAATCTTACTTGTATCTAATTCTAATATCATTGTTTCCTGAGATGATTAATTATTTAATATTATTATTAATTTACATAATGATGTAATTAAAAGAAATAAAACTTACATTGGTTGCATTGGTAAGAGGATTTCCAAGATCACATATTACTTGCAAATTATACTTATTTGTCCAAGATGATTCCATGCATGCTGGTGGTATACTCTCTAATGACAAGGGATTTGGAATAAAAATGTGTACTTGTGTCTGATAAGCAGGTTCACCATTATTATGAACATCAACTATAAGTTTCAGATTCGAGGATGATCCAATAATGTATGTATTATTGGATGTTAAATTAGTTCGAAGAGATATCCGTAAATCTGAGTTACAAATATCATCAGTACCACATTCTAATAAAAATGGTAACTGAATTACATCTTTAAGTTTTGAATTCAGTTTGTTTATAATTACAGATGATTTATGAAAAATGTTACTTGATTTGTTACTTTCTTGCATGGTATTATTAAAATCTACAGATAATGTAATTGGATCAATCACATTTTGTATGTTGTCCTGAAAAATCATTAATAATATTTCTAAACTTAATAATAAATTTTATTTATTAAAATATGTAATATAAATATAAAATAAAAAAATTACCTTAAGGTGAATTTTGAACAAATCACATTGACGTTCGGATATTTTTAATACAGTTGGTAAAATACAAGTAAAATTACTTGTATTATTTTTCAAATACATTGCTCTTCCATATAATGGATCTATTTCTAAATTACGAATGATATCTAAAAAAAAATATTTCCAGCATAATATTATATGCATATAACACTTATTGTATTATATTATATCAGTATATTGTAATAATATAAATGTACAAGACTTACTTAAGTTTTTAGGAGCATATACACCATCATAAATAGTACATATATAAATAAAGAAAAATTTCGAATCCCTAGACAATTTTTTTCCAGAATACACAAGATCTATTGTTATTGAAACAACAGGTATGGATGGTAACAGAACAACTTGTTCAGATAAATAAGCTCCTATTGCAATATCAAGGTATTTGTCATTATTTATATCCAAAGGTTTTGATATTGATATACCAAATCCACAAATATTTGGTGAAAATTCAGAACCAAGTATCTTTTGACTACATTTCAGAATTCCATTTTTATTACTGTTGTATAAATATATTGCACCACTGTCTCCTTCATATGGTGCACCAATCATAATATCATTGTATCCATCATAATCAATATCCCCTAAGCATGTTATAGAAGAGCCAAATCTTCCTCCACTTACATTGCCATCAATTTCTTGTTTTTTCATAAAATTGTTCTAAGTTCATCCATAAAAAAGATATTAGATATTAGAATATATAGAAATATATAGAAATAATTGTAATCTATAAAAGTACATTTTCCCATGCAATAAAAACATATACTCGACCCTCGTCCATATCTTTAGTCCAAAGAGGTGCACCAACAATTAAATCATCTTTATCATCATTATTTAAATCACATGATGCCAAAGAAGCTCCAAAATATTCTCCATATTGGTAACCATTTAATGTATTACTAATATCAATCGTTTTACCGGAATATTTTGGAAAAGAATATATTATAACATATCCTTTCATATTATTACTTCTTGGTGAACTTGATGCAAACAAAAGTTCCTGTTTGCTAAAATAAAATCCGGAAGTTGTTGAATATCCTGAAATATAATATATACTAACATCATTTATTAAATTTTAATATATACATTCAATATCTGTATATGTTATATTATACCTAAATAATTAATATCCATATAAATATTTTTATTATTTGGAATAATAATTTGCCTGTAACCAGAAGTTGATTCTGTCAATAATACTGTGGAACCTTTCCAATTAAATATACCTGGTGAACCCAAAACAACACTCAAGTCTGATTTATTAACAAAATATCTCATATCCGCAGAAAAACCAAGTTGACCCATTCCGAAATTATATAAAAAGTTGCCATTCCATGAAGTAAGTTGATTATCGTTAATTGTTATTAAGGCCATTTTCTCTGCTTCTTTTTCAAAAGATTCTATACTAGTGGCTGTAGTCCAATAACACATACCATTCATATACCAGTTCTTATTATTTATATATTTCCATCGTGGAGCACAAACCTATCCAAATGAATTCAATTATTAAAAGGAAATGTTAATGAAATAAAATGTCTAACTAACCAGAATATTAGAATTTATCCTATTATTTTCTGTTAAAACAACTCCTCCAATCCATGAATTATTTCTATTCTGATAAATTTTATCTTCAGAATTGTCGATGATCCATTCCTTACACATTTTATCAAGTAAACACACATAAACAGTTCCTGGTTCTAATACAGATTGAAGATCACTTATATTTGCCCTTGGTACACCAATAAGTACTGCAGAGACATTTTTACTGCTAGTATACAGAGCAGTAGCATATCCAAAATAACTATTTCGTCTACCTTCTAAACTTTGTGGAGTAGTAAATACAATAGCATTGGTAATATCCAAATTATATGCTAATGTATTAGATAGAAAGATTTTAAACAAAAAACCACAAAGCCACATTTGAAAATATTTTGTGAAAATAGATTTTTAATAAAAATAATTTTAGTTAAAAATATATCTGTAAGTAGTTGGGTGGAACTGCAAACTATTAAGTTTCATCATAAATTACTACTACATGAAAAGGATGTGTTTCCAGGAAACCACAATCACTTTACTTACTCATGACTCACAATCAGATCAGATTTATGTCAACCAAAAAAAGAAAAATAAAAAAAATAAAAAAAGAAAAAAAAAAAAAAAAAGATAAAATACAAAAATAAAAAAAAAAGAAAAGAAAAAGAAAAATGAGAATTTTAGTATGACATGTAAATAATAAATTAATGCATATGTTGAATTAATTATTTTTATTTACTTGTAATTAGTTAATAAGGATGTATAAATGCAAGATTAAATTATGATGTATTTATAATCACTTTTTAAAGTTCCAACACATAAAAAGAAATGTATGTATGTATGTGTATATATATATCAATTTGTTATTTTATTAATTTCCATCACACTTACAAACCATATTAACAGTACACATTAGCTAGATCATAATATTATAGCTAATGCAGTATTGATTTAACTACAATTCTTGGTGATGTTCCGATAGTTTAGATTAAATGGAATTTGAAGATCGATTTTTAAAAACGTTTCTACTTTGCAATAATAATAAAAATTTTTTTATGACCGATTAGACTGTCGGTTTCATTACCATTGACATAAAAAGAAGAAGCATTGCCGAGTCTTTAATTTCATTTCAAATCAAATTATAATAATTAAATTGTAATAAATTCAAATATGAAGAATATTAAATATAGCCATAAGAAAATTTTTTTATATCATAACAGTCTTATGTTCTACTAAGAAAGTATGATAAAATGCAGGAGATTCGCAAGAACTAGCATAAAATTGATAAAATCTAAAAAAAAAAAAAAAGATAATATAATAGACAAACCGACAGTACTGACGTATGATCAAACTCAGTATTATAAAAATATACTTCAAGGAATCACAGATTTATTATGTACAAAGGGAAAGGGATTAATAGCTTAAAGATAACAGGGCATTAATCGGAAGAATCTGTTGTAGTAGAAATCGTTTGGGACAAAGGCATGGATCGATTACGGTAGCTCCTTCTGGCTACATCTACTTTTTTTCTGAAGCACTCCAAACTTTTCAATTTCTGTTCATGATCTGAGCTCTCAGCACCATTATGCCCTTTTTGTATTTCGTTACTATTTTTTTCAACAGTAGACACTCCGGATGTAATACCACTATCGGGAGTCGAAGGAACTTTGCACAATTTCTTAATAGGTGTCGAGATTTCATCCTCTTGAGTTTTTGTTGTACTAGTACCATTTACATACTCTTTTTTAATACTTTCTCTTTCACCATCATTGTCAAGTTTTAGTCGTTTGCTTTTACTTTTACTAGAGTCACGTTTTAAGTTATTTTTACATTTTCTATGTTTCTTCCTGCGAGTTTTTATAGAAGAATCTGAATCCGTTTTCAAATGTTTCTGTTTTCCCGAATTATCATTTTCCTCGGAACTACTGCTGCTATAACTTGAAAGTTTAGAATCATTCTCTATAGCGTTTGTAGTATAGCGCGATCTCCTAGAAATTACTCCTGAACTGGTACTAGGTTGAGTCGCATCAACAGGTTGAGTCGCATCACTGTCAGAGTCACTATGAATTTTTAACACAGTACACTTTCTCCTAGCTCTACTCCTTCTACCAGATATCCTAGCATGTTTTCTTTTTACACCTTTTAATTTTGATTTTGACTTATATCTACACTTTATTTGTGAATTGTCCCCTTCACTAACATAGCCTGAAGCAGAAGGTTCAGGAACTGTATTTGAAGAATTATTTAATGTAGTAGCACAATCCAACCCAGCTAGTCTCATAAGTTTTTCTCTACGATTTGCTATGAGCTGCGTAATTCTGTTAGGTGATTCTAGTGGTCGTTCAGGAGCGACACCACCCCCGTACGAACTACGAGAACTTACCGCCGATCCTAGAATACTTAACATTAAGTGACGGTCTGACGCGGTAGAATCTGTATATAAAAAAAAAAGGAAAAAAAAAAAAAAAAAAAAAGAGAGAAAACATAAAAAGAAAACAATAAAAAAAAAGAGAAGAAGTAGCAGATATTTTACTGTCTAATGCTAGTATTGTAAATATAAAAAATATTTGGCATACCGTCAGAATCTGTTGCACTATAGGTACGTCCAGTTGTAGGATTATTTTCAGAATCACTAGGAGTTTGTGATGCAGTTGGCATATCTTCTGAACTCCAACCTTCAATTTCACGTTGTATTAAGGAATCAAAAAAAGCCATCATTCTTGGATCCTCCCTAGTTGATTGATGACTATAATCGTGGGTCATAAATTGGCCACTACGCAATACTAAGCCAATATATTCGTCGTGCGTAAATACACGACGTTGCCTTTCTTGTTTTCCAGCATCGCGCTAAAACAAATGAATTAGTTTAATAAATTTCATTTTTATAAATATACAAAACAATTATTGTTCGTTTATACCTTTAGGCCACCTAAACATCCGCTTCCAAGAGAAAATGGACTCCAAATCTTGATAATTTTTTCAACTCCAGATGATGCAAGTACGCAACTTGCTTGATTGTAGCGTACCTGATTGACTATTGACCTGTGACCACGTAAAACCATATGAGCAGAATCTACCCACTTTACACCTTCAGAGGGAATCTTCCACATATAAAGATTGAAATCGTCCGAGCCTGAACATTTGAAATTTATAATACATATGTTTATAATTTAAAAAATTTTACATGTATATATATATATATATATATTATTTCATATATACCTGAAAGAACATATTCTTCATTATCACCAGCAAAACAACATGTTTTCATCGTACAACTATTATAATACCCTGGATGATCAAATTGGCATAAGTGAGAAGAAGAATCAACAGCATACAATACTGGAGGTAGCCTTCTCCTCAATGCTAACAATCTATTCCCTGCTGCATTAAATCTTGCATTCATGCAACTTTGTGCAGGACTTTCATTTCCATAACGTAATACAGGCCTACGCATATATAATATCAATATTAATTAAAATTTTATTTCTTTAACAATATATATCATAAAATATATCTTATTAAAATTTGATTTGTTACCTAAGTGGTTTTCTTACATCCCACATACTAACTCCTTCTTTAGCATTGGCAGTGGCTAACATTCTAGGTTCAACTGGATTAAACATAACAGAATGAAAAGGTGTCTTATATTGTGCTAGACAAAAAGTTTCCATGGCACCTGCTCCTCTAACATCATAAATTAAAATTCTTCCATCATCGCACGCACTTGCAAAAACATTATCATTATGAGGATGAATCGATAAACCATATACAGGTTTTTCGTGTAGGAAGAAACTGAGGACGTCGCAACTATAATGTTAATGTAAAATATTTATATACGTATGTATCGTATATTCATATATAATAGAATACTTATAATAAAAACTACTAAGATTTTACATGAGATTTTAAGGTTGTAAAAAAAAAAAATACAAAAAGAAAAAAAGAAGAACTACTTACGTTTGCAAATCGTGAACAATTACTTGGTCATCATTTCCTGCAGAAAATATCTTTGTTTTGCTATTGTCATATCCAAGACAAAATATATTGCTAACATGTTGAGCTTTCATTACTGTAGGTTTTCCTACACCTTGTATCGCTTGTTCTACTTTCCATAATAAAACTCTTCTATCATCACCGCCTGTTAAAATAAAATATAAACAATTAATCAATTAATCTATTATATTATTATATGTAGAAATGAATTTTAGATATATATATATATACATATATACGTGTAAGTATATATATATACATATATACGTGTATGTATATATATATATATATATATATATATACACGTATGATACGTAAAGAATCGAATTAAGCGAACGATAAGAAACGTTCGGTAGGAAATAAAATGTAATATTTAATCGTTCGAAATAAGCTGAAATGAGTTCGATCCTTCGTCGATCTCCGACATTTAAATTCGACGAATAATGACGCTATGAATAAAAATATTCAAAAATAAGAAAGGCCGTTAGGTTCTTACCAGATACCAATAGATCACCCTGACGTGAAAATTCGATCGCATTGACACAACCATAATGAGATAGGAGATCTTTTCTAAACAAGTTCTCGGATCCCCCGAATCTAGAGTTGACGAGTCTTTTACAGTGATCAATTTTATCGTCGACTTGTCGTGAAAAAACGTAAGAAAGAGGACTAGAATCGGAAGGACGAGCCATTTCTCCGCCTATCGGCACGACACGTATTCCGAAAGGGATACACCACCGTCCTTCTTCACTTTTTGTCTCTTTCTTCCATCTATACAACGACGATTTCTCTACGTTATCCTTCTTACGAAAATATCACCCTTACACCTTCGTTCTAACTTCTTTACCTTCCTTCTTACGTAGGAAACTGTAACAGAGTCGCAATCCCAACGGAGAAAAAGAGAAAGAAAAAGAAAAGAGAGAGAGAGAGAGAGAGAGAAAGAGAGAGATGGAGAGAGGGATAAAGAAAGAGAGAGAGGGATAAGGGGGAGAGAGAGAGAGAAAGAGAGACAGAAGAAAGGAAAGAGAGAGGGAGAGAAAAGACACATATATACACTTATAATAGAGGAAAAAGATGATAGGGGAACATGCGATTAATAATACCGGAAATGTTATTATTTTCTTTTCTTTTACCAAGGATAATCCGTTTAATTGTGATGTATCTTCTTTCAAATAGACATGCCGTAAGCTGTTTATACTTAACGAACTTACGTAGAAAATTTCTAGAAGACAAACGTATACACAGAACACACGCACGCAATGCCAACGCGCACGCAGTTACGTTTACGAGAGATACCCGCGACTTTTTGCTCGAACCACCCGATCAACCTCTGTTGTCTCCTCTTGAGAATTCGAGTCCTCGATCAGCTGATCGCCGTACGATCTCTCTTCGCGGTCAGTTCGAGCCACGACTTCGACTGTTTCCGTACTGTTGCTTCGTGCTTCGGACCATTCTCGCTTTTGTTTTTCCTCGATAGTCTTACACAGTGATACATTCTTCTTTTTTTATATACATAAAATCACGTTATTCCTCTATCTTCTATTCATCATAGACGTCGTCTTTGTCAAAATCAGTTTTGGTTGGCTGCTACCCGCCGAATTTGTACACAGAAAAATAACAATCGCAAGCATGGACAACAGCGCCACGTCGTTAATAACCCGCGTACTTCTCACTGGTCCACCCGGTATAACCCGCGAATTTTAAATCTTATTTATTTCCCTTTTTTTCTAATCGACATTTTTCTATCATTTTTATTTCATTTAATTTTTTATTTGTGATATATCTCTAGGTATAGGAAAGACGACGATATGTATGAATGTTGCTTCTATATTGGAAAAACAAAATCGTACATTCAATGGCTTTTATACGGAAGAAGTACGAGGGGAAAATGGTAATAGAATAGGCTTTGATATTGTTCTAATGAAGAATAAAGAGAAGAGGATACCTTTAGCACGTACAGAGTTAGTTTATATGTTTTTGTCATTTCTTTAATGTACGTTTTTTTTTCTTTTTTTTATTAATACATAACGTTGTTTAAATAGAAATAGATTAAGTCAGCAGCAATTTTCCAAATATCGAGTGGGAAACTATCATGTCTTCGTTAATAATTTCGAAAATTCTGTTTTGCCGGTGATAAAAACTGATATGGTAAGTTACATGACTAATTAATTCAATTAATTTTGTAATAATTTTACTATTTATTAATTTTTTGCTGATATTAAATATTTTTATTCGTTCTTATCAAACAGGATATATTAGTGATCGATGAAATTGGAAAAATGGAATTATATAGTAAGAAGTTTTATGATGAAGTATTTAATATATTTTTTGGTTCGTTAAATAAGAAAACTTATATCGTTGCAACCATACCACAAATCCATAAGGTACCACAACGTTTTCTGACCCTATTTCAAAAACTACATGAAGATAATAGATCCAAGATTATAAATGTTAATCGTCAAAATCGAAATAATCTGGCCAATGAAATAGTTTCTATCATATCGTAAATATCTGTTTAAAAAAAAAAAAAACACATATTTTATGTACATTATAAACATCATTTATTATTAACAAAACAAAATATTAGGTTAAATAAATTCTACCAATCACAATAAATTTGTAAAAAAGTAGTCACAAATAATGTGACAAAAAGTGATTGATCATAGGTCATGCCAAATCGCATATGTATTAATTTTTTTTTCTTTTTTTTTTTCTGATAATATTCATTGTTTCATAAAAGAAACCACCATTATCCAGTAAAGAATAAATTAATGAACTAATAAATAAGAAGAGTCCTGTCTTTAGAATTTGACTTTTTACATATAAATATTTTAATATAATCTTTTTTTTTATCCAAAATTTTTTTAGACCATATTTTTCATTTGTGCGCAAATATATTTCTCTTTAATGAATAAGGTGGTTCCATCAAGGGTACAAAATAGAAATATTCCTCCTGCGTCTTCTTGCTTTAAGCAAACAAAAATTGCTGATGCATAATGAGGCGTTGATCTTATCATGGACAAGAAAACATGATAAATATGTTTGCAAGTTGATTAAACAAGCAAACTTCTTTCAGTTTTGTACCCACCAATAATATGCATTCTTTACATATACTATGATACAGAAAATTATCTAGCTCCTAAAAAGAATACAATAGTTATTGTTGCAGAGAAGTATAAGTTGCTCTTATCTTCTTTTCGGTATCAAATATATTATACACACTTTGATTGGGCTACTCGTATTCAGTTATCATTATTTATTTATTTTTCAATAATATACCTAAGTTGTTCCACTAGCACATGAATTTTAGTAACGAGTTAGCATATATCATTGGCCTTACATTTGGATGAGGCTAAAAAAAAAGAACACACACATGAAAGAATTTTTAAAGTCTTGTTTTAGTATCATCTTTATAAAAATAAAAGAAATAAAAAAAATGAAAAAAAAAAGAAAAAAAAAAACAAAATAAATAAATAAATAATAATAAAATAAAATGAAAAAGATATATACCACTGCTTCGTATGAGGTGAAGTATGGTTTCATGTCTTTTCCATTAAGCGTGATGAAGGCACCTTGATTACCCATAGTGTCACTAAAAATTCATAATGAAAATTAATAACATTGCAGAAAAATGTGGTTCACATAATATAAATTCATTTGATTTACCAATAATTAGGAGCAGAAAATACAGTAATGCATTTTCCATCGTGTCCAACTTCATAACCTTCATTCTTAACTTCATGACTTCTTACAACATAATCAAGATTATTTAAGGCAAGGAAATTTTGTGTTACATCAGGGCCAAATTGTACACCCACACCTCTCTTACTAGGTGCCCTACCCATTTGCGGTTGTGGATCAGACCACAATAATTCACACATTAAACCTTCATCCGGTGGTTGTCTGTTTCTATCAATTTGTTGAATTTCTTCTAGAGTTACATTATCCCTTGAAAACAGCCCACCATGCATTACCTTAAGAAACATATATTTAATCATATATATGTGTGTAGAATTATAGATATAATATAAAATATAAAATAAAATAAAAAAATATAATAAGATTATTATAGATTAGTATTAATCTAAACTTACAAGTACTCTTTTATTAAGACAATGTGCTAAAGGAAGCCAATTGTATACTTCTGTAAACAGATCTGCCATCAGATCAGAGTATTTTGCTTTAACTTCCCCATCAAATCCATACATTTGATTCATAGTAGCAGATTCATGATTACCTAACAAATCAAACCCAATACAATTTGATAGTTTTAGCTTATTGTAGAATAAATGATCTATTACATACCTCTTGACATAAAAAAATGATTGGGATATAATAATTTAAAACCAAATAATGTAAATATACATTCTACAGAAAAAGAACCTCTGTCTACAAAATCTCCATTGAATAACTGCATAGTATTAAGGAAATACATTTTGTTAATGACAAACATAATATTTCTAAATACATAATGTTATAAAAAAATATAAAGCATTATATAAAGAATACAAAAGTATTGGTCTTAAAAGGATACATAGGGATTAGTTTCTGATGGTAGTCCATTTAATTCAAATATGTTTAACAGATCATAATACTGTCCATGTATGTCACCACAAATTGTAAATTTACTATCTTCGGGTATGGTAATATCAACCAAACTTGGTTGTGCCATAAACCATGCTTTAACATCTAATAAAATTTGATAGGCATATTTGCGATGCAATTTATTTTGTTTCTTATACCAATCTAATAAATCCTGCATGAATTTTAATGTTACTTTGCCATCTTCTAATTTTGGCCCTGCATATTCATCCTCAATAGCTAAAAAAGCCAATAACACAGTATATAATGAGATAAATTTTGTATGAAACATTTCTATTGTATTATTTTTTTTTTTAATAGATATTTACAATGATTGCTATATCAAGAAAAACAAAAAAATTGTTTCAGCAATTCATATTTACCCATTGCTTCTAAATTAATCATATCAGCTATATTTTTCTTATTATCTTCTACAGAAATAGCTTCTTCGAAAGCTAACATTTTTAATATCTTGCAACATTCTGTATATTTCGCCATTGCATCTTTATCATTTGGTATTGCTCTAGTTACGGTTTTATAATCCTTAAGAGCTAATTTAAATTTACCCAGCGACATATAAGTTGCCGCTCTACGATAATATCCTTTTACATAATTTTTATCTAACTTTATAGCTTTGGATGCATCTACGAGTGCATATCCAAAACATTCTGTCTTTAAATAAGCAAAACTTCTATTCCCATAATAAACTGCTATATTAGGATTTAATTTTATGGCATTGGTATATAATTCTATCGCCTTATCGTAAGCTTGAACTGGAATATAAATGAACAATGTATTAATTCATTTTAATATATTGAATAAAACAATATAAAATTGACGATTTATCGATATAAAATAAACATGAATATATTAAATAAAAATACGTGATTCAATATACATATATAATATATTAAAATGTAAAAGTGAAAATAAGTGAAAATATTATTTCCTTTAAATGTTAAAATTTTTGATCATAGATTTAATATAATTTTATTCAATTAGCTTCTCTTTCGAATATTTAATGAATTTTTAGATCGCGAAAGTTGGGTTAGCTTAAACAGACACGTGACTATAGTAGCTACTTCAAACGGTTCTCATAAATTAATAGAAGAAAATTACAACGTCGCTAATGATTTATGAGACAAAATTAATTCAAATAAATTTTAAAAACCTACTTTTGAAAAATTCATTTGCTTCCTCTTTAAATTTTTCCGCTTTGGCAGCATCTTCGGGTGATATTACTCCTTTAATTTCGGCGTTATCACCCATTCCGAGTATTTTAATAATAAACTTAAAAAACACACGAAAATTGACTTAAAAGTTACCGAACCTTTGGTAATAAATAATGCATTAAAAAGGGTTGTTTTTTTAGGTAAATCTTATTACAGGCAGACCTTACGACGTGAATGCCTACTCGATTATCCGATGTAACGATTCGATAAATCGAGAATAAGGATCCGACGAGAACTATCGATGACTGCCTTTCGAAAAGTATCGTGAATTTATCTTGTGATTAATTAAAGTCACGCAACGAAGGAAACATATATATCTATCTATATACACATATATATATATATATATTTATATATATATATATATATACACCGTACGTACGTTCGTTGATTATACAAGAAATTTCATAAGAATGAAAAACGTGTTCATTAATTGTATCGATAATCAGTATTGTTTCCGTTAATATAATATATTCTGTTGTTCAATATAACTCAGTTTCTTTTTACACTGCAATTATATATTCAACCATTCATTGAAGATGCCATTATATAATTTCACTTAATACACAAATCTATCGAATCTTTATATATAAACTTAATCGAACTTATGAAGTCTCCAATTTATAAAATATAAATCGTAAAATTTAATAGAAATATAATTTTCTATAGGAGTGTATATAAAATAATTATAATATAAATAAAATATCAATTGGATCTATATGTATGGATCTATATATATATATATATATATATATATATATATATATATATATATATATATATATATATATATATATCATTGAAAATTTTTGATCTTCTATTTTTTTACAAGAAACTTTATTACTTTTATGTCGCATTCTACTTTGTCGACGGTGCATCAAATGCAATGTTGCAGTTTGAATAAGTTCATCGTTGACGATGGCGCCCTCATTGATGAAACTACGTAAATGAACCTGCAGTCGCTAACAAATCTTGCATCGACTTACTTCAAGAAAAAACAAATTGATAAATTCTTCAAGAAAAAAAAAAAAAAAAAAAAAGAAAAAGAAACGGAAAAAACAAAAAAAAAAAGAAATCAAAGAAATCAAAAAGAAAGAGAAATATTTATATTTCAAATTTATCTAACACAGTATTGACGTATTTTTACGTAAATGAATCAATAAAAAAAAAAAAAAAAAGAAATGCATTCTCTCGTAATAGATATACCACGTACTAGATTGATAACTTTAATTTCTCGATATTTATCAATTTTAATTTTACTGACGAGTGATACTCCACAATGAGATATCTAAGTAATTATTATTCTATGATTAAGAAACAAAAAAGATGAAGAAAAAAAAAGAAAAAAGAAAAAAGAAAAAAAGAAATGATAAAAAGAAACGTTCACGTATTTTACGTGAAATTCGCAATATTTTTTCTTCGCAATAATATTTCTATGATTAAGAAACAAAAAAGATGAAGAAAAAAAAAGAAAAAAGAAAAAAGAAAAAAAGAAATGATAAAAAGAAACGTTCACGTATTTTACGTGAAATTCGCAATATTTTGCATTTTCTAAAAAGCTTTGAAATTGATCCTGATATAAGTGGGGATACTGAATGGACGATATATGGCCTATCCTTATCTCTTACCACCAGGCAAAGTTCTCCAGCTCTTTGGCCCTTTGTCGTCCCCATATTTCCATCGGTATATAATTTATATTCTTAATTCAATTATGATGATCCATTCGTTAAAATCTTAGTTTGTATTTATGGTAAGGTATGTTTATCGAAAAAAGAAAAAAAAAGAAAAAGAAAAAAGAAAGAACAAAAAGAAAACAAAACAAAAAGAAAGGAAAAAAGAAAGAGAAAACGAAAAGAAAAATAAAAAAATTTCGAGCTTATACATCGTAATTAAATATATGAAAAAAAGAAAAAAGAACAAAATACACACACACACAT